TTGTCAATGTCAAAGACAGAGATGTTGAAATGGGGAAACCATACGAAGACGAAGATGGTATAACAATAGTTCCTGTAAAAGAACAACCAACATATCCTGAAGTTAACAGAGACTTAAGTTCTGTTGCAGATATTCGAAACGACTACCAACAACTGAAAGACAAACTTAAAACTCAGGAGAAGATTTGTCAAGCTTTAGGTATAATGTTAAACTTGGTCGAACACAACCCTGTAAAAGTGAACTCATATGTCATTGCACCTCATGAAGTTTTGAAAGAACTATTGAAACTTTTGACAGAGGCAGACGATATAAACATCAAAGAAATAGAACCCGACATTAGTTGCTGTGGTGTTTCATATAATGTCATTGACAAGATATACGTTATGAAAGGAGGTGAAACGTTGAACTTAAAATATAGTTTCCCAGACGTTATTAAAAATATTTGACGACCACAACATTTCATTAAAATTTATTTGCTAAGTAAATGGCAGAAGACATAATGGTTTATACTATTACGACTAAAAACCCTGAGTCATATAATTCTATAACAACAAACTTACAAAGTCCTCAAGGACGATATTGTAAACTAACCTTAAACACAATGACGACTAAAGCCTGTTTTGCTCTTTTGACACCAGAAGACTTTATGTTGTGAATGGTAAAAAATACTCCTTTGAAGATACTTACTCAGATATACCACCAACAGGTTTTGTTGACTTATTTAATACTTTAAGTACGGGTGTAACATGTGCTGCAACTAGAGCAGGTTTCATTATGTTTGGATGTCCGACTGAGTTTACTATAAACGATATGAGCTATAATACAAAACTTATTTCTGGTTTTTACTACCAACAGTTTCCTATAACAGGAAAAGGTGTCATACAAGGAATGTCTATTCCATTGACTTTAAGTACACCTATTTTATATATTGTTTCAAACTTAGGTTCAAAGTGTTATTCGAATGTCGACAGAAACTATTATGACCAAAAGATACTTATGCGTATAAACAATACTTTCTCTGCTGGTTTGCCTATTGTTCATTCGAATGCAGAATTTTCAACCTTAGTGAACTCAAACACTTTGGCAAGTATAACGTTGACATTAGTTGACGCAAACTTTGTTCCTGTAAAACTTTTATGTCCTATGTATTTGTCAATGACGGCAGAAAGTTTCGAATTGGAAGATGCAACTGGTGAAAGTATTGTATTACAAGAACAACTTCAACAACAAATAGCTCAAGAACAACAAATGCAACAAATGGAACAAATGCAACAACAAAGTCAAGAATAAAAAAATATTATTTTTTTATTTTTATAAAAATGTACAGAATAGATGTTTCAGATTTTTATGACTTCCAAGCATTCAGAAATATGTGTCCATTTAGAGACTATAACAAAGCAGTCGAGAATTTGAAACGTTTAGTCATTTATGTCGACTCTGCCCCAGAATGTTATGTCATGAAAGAATGGGATGTTGTCTTTAACAAACCAAGAGCAACAATAGTGTCTGAACAAGAATGTAGACAGAAACTTAAGAAAATAAAAGTCGTCCAAGTTGGCATGAAGATGTTAGATGCTTGGGATATCTTATTGTCAAAACTTGAAGATTTTTCAGTTCGTGGTATAAAGTTCTATACACCATCTCCAAACTTCTATTCTATCTTCACTGGATATAAATACGAACAAGTAGAATGGAAAGAAAATGTTATAGAAGCTTGGTTAGACCATGTCAAAGAAATTATATGCAATGGAAACGAAAGAGTCTATGAGTATATCTTATGTTGGTTTGCAAACATCTTACAACATCCAAGTGCTAAAAATGAAACTGCTCTCATTATAATTGGAAAACAAGGAACAGGTAAGAACACATTCTTTACAGATATCTTATGCAAACTGTTAGAAGGTTATTCGAACCCTAATATGACAAACTTAGAAAACATCTGCGGTAAATTTAACTCTTCAATAGAGAATATGAAACTTATAGTATGTAACGAACTTCAAAGTATAGATACAACAAAAGTTTTGAACTCAGATGCTTTGAAGAGTCTTATAACAGACAAAGTTGGAGTTGTTGAAAGAAAGTATAAAGACCAAAGAGTTTGTGAAAATGTTGCAAACTTCATTATGGTTTCAAACAATGCTGTTCCGATGAAGTTAGAAAGTTCTGACAGAAGATATGTAGTTGTCAGAACGTCAGATTCTCATATGCAAGATACAGAATATTTTGACGCTTTGTCAGAAAGTTTGACATCTGACTTTTACAACCACTTGTTCTCATATTTCATGACATTAGATATTTCTAAGTTCAATCCAAGACAAATTCCACATACCGAAGAGAGACAAACATTGTTAGAAGCAAACAAGAGTGTATATGAACTGTTCATAGATGAAACTGACTTTGAGTGTTTAGATGAAAGGTCATTGTACGATTCGTATAAACATATTGTCAATATGGTTATATGACAGCGTCTAAACGAACATTCTTGGCAAATGTCAAAAGTCTTTTAGACGTACAGAATGGTGTATATACAAAGAAAAATTTTTCTGAGTAAATTTTAAAAAAAAATATTTTTTTATCCGATAGAAAAGATGACAAAATTCATCTCAGTAAACAAGTACATGTCAGGACTTAAAGAAGAACTAGACCCATTCACATATTTGAATGTTTACTTCTACCATTTTGAAAAGTCTACATTTGACAAAGTTTGGAACATCGAACCAGTTAAGTTTGCTATTGTGACTAAAATGGTGCGAAATTTGAAGACTTAGACATAGAAGGTTTGTTAACAGTCAAAGAAAGTTTTGACAGAAGGTTTTCAAACCTTAAAGAAGGCAAAGCATACAAACTTGTTATACCTTATGAACCAAAGAAGACAGACGACTATGAATATTATGAGTCTAAAGTTGTAGAAGTTCAAGGTAAATTGGGTAAAAAGATTTTAGAGTCTAAGCCGGTGTTTGCTCCTAAAGAGGAAGAGAACATTGACATTGACCCAGAAATGTTCTAAAAATAAAATTTTATTTTTACATGTCAAATTTCTTTTTCTCTGGCTCTGGTTCTTTCTTCTCTTCTTCTACTTTTTTTCTTTCTTTTCTCTCTTCTTCTTCTCTGGTGGAGTTATGTCAAACTTCTCAGAACCATATTTTTGTAAAAGTTCTTTGTCCTTTAATAGCTCTTCTATTCTGTTTTCTATTTCATCTTCAAGAACAGCGCATGTGTCTTCTTTGCATTCTAAGAAGTTTTGTTGGACTTCATCTCTCCAAGAGGCGTCATCTCTGTCAACAAGTCTGTCATTGACAAATTTTAAGACTGCTCTGCTTAATGTTTTATGGTTCTTGTCATATTCCCAGAAACAGAACTTTAGAACAAATTCCCCTTTCTTGTTTACACTATGTAAGATTTTATGGTCGACAGATGTTTTGCTGTCGAAAAGCTTGTCTCGAATATAGATAGCGAAATCGCTAGACATTTTCTAAAAGATAAAATTTTTAATTTTTCTAAAAATATGTTAGAAAAAAAGTTTGCTGACATTGACAAAAAATTTGAGAATGTTTTAAATAAGAACAAGAGGAAGTTAGAAAATGCTCAGATAAAACCCATACATGACAAGTTCTTATTTGCTCAGAATGGTATAACAGGTCTAATTGCACCACCTGGGTCGGGTAAGACTTTCACTTATCTTAAAATGGCTGCACAACAACAAGAACTAGATGAGAAGAACCCATTCTATGAGTTAGTAGTCATTTGTAGTACTTCTGGTCAATTTGACCAAACCGTAAATTCGTTCAAAGATATTATAAAGAAGTCTAAGTTAGTATGTATAAAGGATACTGAGTTGTTAGATTGGATAAAGAAGTACCAAAGAAGAGTTTTGAAGTATAATGCTATAAATGAGTATGTCAATTCGAAGTTTAAAGACCCAAATGAGGAAATGCAGAGAATATTAGAGAAGAAACACTTCAGAAACAAACAGAAAGAGATAGAATACATTTCGAAGAAATTGCAATCTTACGATTGGAAGACTTACCCTCACAGATGTCTTCTTATCTTAGATGATTTCGCCTCTCATCCTTTGTTAAAGAATAGAGAACAAGACATGTGTCGAATTCTTAAGAAGCTCAGACACTTTAACATTTCAGTTGTCATTTGTGTACAGACAGCCAAGAGTTTAAGTAAGGATGTTAAAAGAATACTTACTGACATTATACTTTTCCCCGGATTGTCCGAAGACGATTTCATGGAACTTATGAAAGAGTCCATGGCAGGTAAGTTTGACAGACATGAACTATGGGAGAAGTACAAAGTCATACAAGACCCTCATACTTCTTTCAGAATTCATATCTACGCAAACAAAGTTCAAATTGTAAAAAGTCAAGCTTGAAAAATGTAAGTGTTTAGTCTTAGTCTGTTGTGGTTCTGCAGCTTTCGGTTCTTCTGGCTTTGGAAGGCATTCAGGAAGAGGAACTTCAGTCATCCGTTTGTGTCCTGTCGGAAGGAAAAATTTTTCCTGTCGGATGGAAGAACTTTTCCTGTCGGAAGGAAAAATTTTTTCTGTCGGAAGGAAAAACTTTTTCTGAAGTTCGACCAAAAAGTTCTCAATTTTCGAAAATTTGAATGGTTTACGGACGGACAACAGGAAAAATTTTTCCTGTCGGAAGGAAAATTTTTTCCAGTTGTCGGGAAATTTTTTTCCTGTCGGAAGGAAGAGTTCTTCCTGTCGGAAGGAAATTTTTTTCCTGTCGGATGGAAGAGTTCTTCCTGTCGGAAGGAAGGACTCGGAATGCCAGAAGGATTTGACAAGGCAATTTACCTTATAGAGCTACCTGAGCCATCTGAAGTCAAGCGTAAAAATAAAGAGTGCATTTACCCTACTTGTTTGAAGTTGTCAAAATACTCTGTTATTTTTTCCTTTAACAATGGCAAATCTTCTTTGAAGGTAAGAATTGTACAACCTTTCATATCATAGTGTGTTTGAGGTAACGTATCTTGAACTATTTGTTTCACATCTTCATTTGGGTCATTGAAATCGGTAAGTTTTCGCGATAGAACCAATTTCTGTCAGATTTGTAAATCTTAGCAAGGTCGTAAAAGCTTTTGTTGTTTCTTCTGACTAAATGCAACATAACCATATCTTTATCTTCTTCATTTTCCATCTCTTCAGTATAAATCATATACTTATAGTTCTTTTCCTTACCTTTTGGTACCGAACGTGGTATTCTTTTCTGAATGCTTTTGTCTTTTGCTTCAAGCTTGTTTTCCATCTCTTCACGTTCTTGTCTATGAATTTCGTCAAGAAGTCTGTAAATATAACAAGCATAACGAGGTGAAGCCCACATTGCAACAGCATTTACAAGAAGTCTATGTACATACCAACCTCTCAAACCATTTGGCAAATTTTTACGATTTTCATAGAGTTTTGGCGACTGGGGTTTTTTACCTACTCGCTGTTCTTCACTGTTTTCAGAAAAAAGTATGTCTCGCTGTGCTTCGCTCAAAAGTTCTTGTGTGCTTTGGTTCCTAAACCAGTCTTTAGGAAGCTTAGTATCTGGAGCAAAACATGCTGTCAAAATACTTTGCATTTGGTACATATCGTCTTTGACCGAACGAATGAGACGTAACTGTTTGTTAAACTGAACCCACTCGTATTCTTCATTTATAGCTTCATGGACTATAACTGTTGTTGTGTTCTCTGTTGTTGACATATCTGTCTTTACATACAAAATAAAAAAATAAATAAAAATAAAACTAACTTTATTTTATTTATTTTGTATAAAAGATATGATTTCAGGGATTTTTTTTACGAAGTGCAAAAGTTCACTTCGTAAAAAATAACAGTTATATAATGAAATTTGGTCATTTTTTTCATGTCAGAAGACTCGAAGGTGCAACACTTCCAAAATACCGACGAACTCAGAAGAGCAGCATGGCAGTATGTTCTTCACGATTTTCATGAGTTTTAGGCGACTGGGGTTTTTTACTTACTCGCTGTTCTTCACGATTTTCATGAGTTTTAGGCGACTGGGGTTTTTTACTTACTCGCTGTTCTTCACTGTTTTCATAGAGTTTTGGCGACCCCGAAAAAAGTCTGTCTCGCTGTGCTTCGCTCAAAAGTTCTTGTGTGCTTTGGTTTTTGAACCAATCGTCTGTATGTTTGGTATCTGAACGATGTAAAGTAAGCCCACATTGCAACTGCATTTACTAATAGTCTATGTACATACCAACCTCTTAAATTTATTGGCAAATTTTTACGATTTTCGTACGGAATCTCTACCCTCGGTTTTTCGAGGGTAGCAAACATATGAGGAAACTCATGATTTTTATACAGAATTCGGCAAAAATATATTTTAGGGTAGATGGTTAGATCTAACCTCATTTCTACCCTCATTTCTACCCTCTTGAATTTTCATGAATTTCCTTAAGATAGAAAAAATAAAGTTAGTTTTATTTTATTTATTTTGTATAAAAGATATGATTTCAGGGATTTTTTTTACGAAGTGCAAAAGTTCACTTCGTAAAAAATAACAGTTATATAATGAAATTTGGTCATTTTTTTCAGCAAAAATATATTTTAGGTGAAGAGGTGAGATTTCACCCGTTTTCTCACCTAATTTTTCACCCCAGTTATTTTATAAGCGTTTTACATGGTAAACGTTATTTTTTAAATTTTGTGAAAACTCAACGGTTTGACACATGCCATATGCCATTTTACTCAGAATTTTGTTGCTGAATTCAATAAAAATATATTTTAGGTGAAGAGATGAGATCTCACCCGTTTTCTCACCTAATTTTTCACCCCAGTTATTTTATAAGCGTTTTACATGAATTGTACGATGTATATTTGAAATCCTAAACAGTTTTGTAGCTTCTATTTCTTCTTTTAGTACATCGAATGTTTTAACAATGCCGAAAGTTTCTTTATACTTCTTCTTGACATCAGATAGAAGGAAATCGTCAGCAGTTGGATAGTTTTTGTTCAGAAATTCTAACATGTCCATTTTATTTTCTGCTGGTTTCTCTGCTTCTTTCTTTAAGTCAGCATAGTCGTTTCGCATACGTTCTATCTCTTTGACGGAGTAGTTATATTTCCTCATTGCTGCTTTACATTTAGAACATTGTGGGTTCATTTTAGCATTGTACATTGAAATTTGTCCTGCAAGTACAACTATAGCGTCAATGGTTTTCTTTAACTCAAAGGCTGCTGGTTTTATTTGTCCATTCCATACTTTACCTCTTCTATCTTTATCTCTTATCTGCCATACACATTCAGCAACTAACGAAACAAAGTTGTCGTAGGTCTTAAATTCTTCAGATTTATATATGTCAGAAACATTCTTATATACCATATCGCAGTCTTTGTCCATGACTTTGTGGTTGCAATGAAATCCAAGAAACTCATAGTTAACCTTACGTATGAACTTCTTTATTTCTACTGAGTCAGTTGGTCTGACTTCAATTTCTTCAAATTCTGGAATTGTAAGCTTTTGTTGTTGTATTTCAGGAAGTTTAGGTAGATGTTCCACCAGGTCCTGCATTTCATAAAGATACTGTTCATTTGTTTCATCTTTTGCAGTGCAATCTAAATCTCCTTGGAGAAGTTCTTGCTTTATCTTCTGGATTTCTGTCTCAAAAGTATATGAAGAAGGAATGAAGCTTTTCATCTCTACTAACATTGAAGTTGGGTTCATAACTAAAGAGTTTGGTGAAGTTGTTGCTAACATGTTCTTACAATAAAAATAAAAAATATTTTTTTAAAAAAACTAACTTTATTTTTTATGTTTTTTGTGAAAGTGTCAAAAATAAATTGTTTTCATGAGTTTTCTACGATGGTAGAAAAAAGGGTAGAAAACGGGGTAGATCTAACCATCTACCCTAAACATTATTTTTGCTGAATTCAGCACAAAATTCATGAAAATTCATGAGGGTAGAAATGAGGGTAGAAATGAGGTTAGATCTAACCATCTACCCTAAACATTATTTTTGCCGAATTCTGTATAAAAATCATGAAAATTCAACGGGTGAAAAATTAGGTGAAAAAAGAGGTGAAATCTCACCTCTTCACCTAAACATTATTTTTGCCGAATTCATGAGTTTTGGTTGAAAGAATACGGTGGAGCCAAAAGTGGCTCGACCTCAAAACAAGCATTTTGTGAAGAATATAGCAACAGTCTGAATTCAGACTGTTGCTTTTTATACAAAATTCAACGGGTGAAAAATTAGGTGAAAAAAGAGGTGAAATCTCACCTCTTCACCTAAACTTTATTTTTGGTCATGGGCTATGTCCCACCGCTTTGCGTCTTTATGTCAAAAATAAATTGTTTTCATGAGTTTTCTACGATGTTAGAAAAGTGGTTAGAAAACGTGTTAGATCTAACATGCTAACATAAACTTTATTTTTTTCTATCTTAAGGAAATTCATGAAAATTCATGAGGGTAGAAATGAGGGTAGAAATGAGGGTAGATCTAACCATCTACCCTAAACTTTATTTTTTTCTATCTTAAGGAAATTCATGAAAATTCATGAGGGTAGAAATGAGGGTAAAAATGAGGGTAGATCTAACCATCTACCCTAAACTTTATTTTTTTCTATCTTAAGGAAATTCATGAAAATTCATGAGGGTAGAAATGAGGGTAGAAATGAGGGTAGATCTAACCATCTACCCTAAACTTTATTTTTGCCGAATTCATGAGTTTTGGTTGAAAGAATACAAATATTGTCTTGAAGCAGTGCAAGTATTGTTCTGAAGCAGTGCAAGTATTGTTCTGAAACAGTGCAAATATTGTTCTGAAACAGTACAAGTATTGTTCTGAAACAGTACAAGTATTGTTCTGAAAAAGTACAAGTATTGTTCTGAAAAAGTACAAGTATTGTTCTGAAACAGAAAATGTTTCTCACAAATTGAGAGCTTTTACGGGAAATTTGTTCTGAAAAAGTTCAAGTCTTGTTCTGAAAAAGTACAAGTATTGTTCTGAAACAGTACAAGTATTGTTCTGAAAAAGTACAAGACTAGTTCTGAAACAGTACAAGTATTGTTCTGAAAAAGTACAAGACTAGTTCTGAAACAGAACAATGGACAACATCGAGCCACATTCAATACTTTTTCAGCACTTTTCCGTAGTTATATATGAAAGACAATTCGAGATAAAAGTCATAGTACAATGGAATAATATGTTGCACACCATTTGTTGTGAACCAAACTTGAAAGTCAGAGAAACTGTTACTAGGTGGTTCGTAGAATTTAGAAGCAAAGTCATAAAAGTCCTTACCAATACATAGAAAACTATTGTTGCTTGAACTGAAACTTGCATGACACATAACATTTTGAGGGTCAAACACGTTTCTATAAACCATCAAATCTGCTGGTGGAAGTATAAATTTAAATGGACCATCTGGTGGTAATGGTTCGTTCTGGTTTAGTAACCGAAGAAATTGTGCCCAAGAACGTTTGTCTACTTTCCAAAATAAAAACTCTGTATCTCTTGGAGGGTTAATTTCAATCTTTTGAAATGAAACGGTGGAGTTCATCTTGTCATATTCTAGTTTCAGATAGTATGTTCCATTTAGTAAAGAGTCGTATTTTTCTTGAAATTCCCAATAATATTTGTTCATTTGAGTTTGAAAGTCATTTAGAGTTTTCTCAAGACTTTCGTCTGAACGAACTGTAAAGATTCTCATTTCGTCAAATTTGTCTATTAGACCATCAGAACCTTATACTGCCCATGAAAATATACTGCGAACATAAATGCGTTAGTTCTATTTGAAAACAAAACTCTTCTAAATCCTATTGCCTTTGCATCTGAAGGACTTTGAAGCCAACGAATTGGATAGTCAAACCTGTATGCTCGGGATGAAATTTCTTCATCTGAAATAGTCCTACCAGCATTTGTAAAGATATAGTCTAACGGTTTTGTATCTGCTACTTTTGTTCTTTGTTTTTCAACCTGAAGCATTTAATATATGTAAAAATATATTGTTTTAAAATGGTATGCCATTTCATATTTCTCATCTAACAAACAAGTTTCCCAACGGTCTTCTCCAACAAACTCAGCGTACATTTCAAATAAAATAAAAAAATGTCACTTTTTTTAAAATAAATTTTTTATTTCATGCAATGTTTTATTTCTGTGCCGTCTTCAAGTATGCCCCAATATTTCCTTTTCGATATTACATGAACTTCGGAAAATACCTTATCTAGCTTAAAACAGCCCATCTTTTCACCGACCATTCCATTTCAATGAGTTTGTTATAGCCTTCTTCGTTCGTCATGAGTGCGTCAATGTTCTCATAGTAAACCTTCACTTTGGATTTGACTTCGGAGAAGAATTTGTTGTAGTTGTCAAGGACTGCTTTTGCGAACTGAGGGTAAGACCAATGTTCGACAATAGGTTTTAATGTGGTTACTAAGCCACTTTGACCTTGAGTGAATTCGTACTTCAAAACAAAAGGAGAAAACCTTTCAACAAAGTTGTCGACCTTCTCATAATGTTTACTCTTCATCTCTTGAGGTTTCTTAATGGAATATCCCCATGTCGAATTCATAAGCAATTTGAGTGTCATTGCAAGTTTGGGGTTTGAAGCTTTCCTAATATCATACAGTTGTTGTATGACTTTTCCAACTGTATAGTTCCTTCCCGGGAACTCACCATCTTCGTTTGGAATTCCAGTCGGAATATATTGGACAAACCTCATGTATTGCAGCGTTAAGGTCGACATAGTATATCTTTTCATCTGAGTCGAACTTGTCGCAACCAATTGGTCCAGTTTGTGGAAATTCAAGTGAGTCTCTATCTTCTGAGAAACTTCTCCTTTATCTCATAAACATCGTCGAAGCAACCTGTTTCATATAAAACCTTCTGACCTAACTCAGATGCTCTCCAATACAATTTGACGTCAATTGGATGTCTCAATGGAAGTTTGTTTATAGCATCTTGAAGTTCTTGCAACCTCATTGGAAGTTCTTCTGGTTCAGGTTGGTATCCGAACAAACCAACTCCTTGTGGAACTGTGTACTTCTTTTGTACTAGAACTTTGTCTGGAACAACTTTTGGTCTTGCTAACAATGAAAAGTTTGTTTCGTCTTTTGGTACAAAAGTTTCTGTCAGCTTGTCATCTGGAATTGGTTCCAACAAACCTTTCTCGAAAAGAATGTTTACAGCTCTGACAATGTTGCACTTGCCTTTTCCGAACAATGGGTTTGTAAGACTTTCGTTCAACATGAAGTGGTTGTGGACAATTACAATCTTCAACCATGGTAAGTCTTTGTCAACAACATAGTCGTCATGTGAAGAACCTTTAGCTGTAGGTATGTTGACTCGGATATTGACATTTGCCAACGGTGCAATTTTTGCCAATTGACCTCTGAGAATGTACCTTGTCTTCACACATGACTCAAGATACTTCATCTTCTCATCTGTAACAAGACCAGAGTTCCTGAGACATGTAAGAATGCAAGGTTCGTTGACAATTGTTTCAATTGAATTGTAAATTCCATACCTTGTCAAGTCAATGTCAGACTTATTTATGAAGGGGAAGTATCCAGCATGTTTGTCTGACTGCTTGAGGGTTAGGTTGGTACCATTCGAACTTGACACTTGCAATTCCTTCAATTGCATTCAAAATGTCTGAGTCGGAGTCAACCATTTGTTCTCTCTTTGTAGTCTTGAAAGCGTCAAGAAGCATTGCAGCTGTTTGTTCATTGCCATGTGCATAGTAAATGTGACCATCCAAATCTGTTATGGTCAATCTGAGATTGTGTCCTTTCTTATTTCCGTCTTGTATGGCAGCAAGTACACCCATGAAGCCTTCTTTGTTCTTTCCTTCGTCAAAGTTTACTGTAAAGGTTCGACCAGATGTAATTTGACTTCTAACTTCACGATACTTTTCATATGCATATCTTGTTCTTTCCATGGGAGCATGTGCGTCTTCACCTTTTCCTTTTTTCCTTCTCAAAGGATGCAATTGTTCGTTCATGTTTCCAGTAGAATCTGGCAAAGCCGTCGTGTCCTTCAACTTGAGGTTCACTAACATCGAAAAGGCATGTCCATAAGACGTTCTTCTTCTAACCTCTCTAGTCTGTTTGGATAATTTGCACGTGCTGTTTCCAAATCCATTTCGTAGCGAAGACCAGACAATTTGTCATAGACTTTTATGGGTCTTCCCTTCCTATATTTAAACTTCTTCGAAACTCTCCAACCATAACTTTGCAACTCTGCTTTTATTCTAGCAGATTTTCTATCCATTCTATATGGGGGCATTTTTATAAAAATAAAAAAATATTTTTTTCTTTACTTTACATAACCGCCTGCTGCCATAAGTCTTTGACGCCAACCCATACCAGCTAATGAAGGTTGACTTGGTTTAGTTTGGAAACTAAACTTTGGTTTTGGTTTATCTTCAGTTTTTGGTTTTTCTTCTTCTATCGGTTTTTCGTCACTTTTCGGTTCCTCTGACTTTACTTCACTTGCAGGAACAGTTGTGTCGTCAACATCTTCATAAATATCATATGCCATTTTGTTTTTGTTTTCCTTTCAACTTTTTGTGTTTGTTGTAAAGTTTAGAATATTTCGACTCTAAGTCAATGAGATGTTCTATAATGAACTGTTGGTCAGTGAAGTAAACTTTTCCATCTGTTGTCTCGAAAGCTCCTTCAGACTTCAATATTTTATTTGTGAGAGTCTGTTTCTTTTTTGAGATACTTGCCGTTCCATTTCTATGAAAAGTGACTTTGTAGTTAGGGTTTGTATTTCCAGACCTGGCACTTTCTATTATTGAATTTTTCTCTTCATCTGTAAGTTCTTTGACAGTTTTGACAATGGTTCTGAACTTTTTGTTTGTGGTGTCAAATCTACCGTTTCAACTTCTTCGGTCATTTCATCTCAGTAAAAATTTAGTTTGGTTTGTTTTCAACTGGTTGTTGAGGTTTTTTTAAGTCGGTCTAAAACTTCCTGAGGTATAGGAAGAACTTGACAAACACGTGGTGTAACTGCTGGAAGCCGACAAATCCATCTTGAACCCATTTGTCTCAATGCTGTATTGTTCATTTCATCTCAGTAAAAAATTTACATTCCCCACGTTTGAGGGGTTGAGGTTGGTTATTGTTTACCCACTGTTGTGCATGGTTATATCCTCTGTTAAAGAATCTTTCACCTTGGTCCATATAGTGCCCTGCTTGGTTATAGTAGTCATTTGCTTTGTTATAATAGTTTCCTGCTTGTCTTCCTACATTGTCCATCCATCCTTGAACTTTTCCTCTTGTTTCAGGATTTGGAATAAGATTGTTGCATCTCGTGCTACCTCCAACCTTTCTGTACAGTTTGTATAATAGGTTGTGCTTTCTCTTTCAGTATACCTAATGTACTCAAAATCTTCCTTCCAATTCCAAATGCACCTCTGGCTTATTGTTCCCACTGCGGGTAAAAATCTGGAGGCAACTCCTGCTAATGCGCCAAATAAACCCATTTCTTATAGGGTAAAAAATGACGAATTCAAACAAGGACCCCTATGTTTCTAAGCAACAAAGAAAGCACTCATGATAAAAATCTTTAGTTCAACACCAAATGCTTGGTTTATGGATATCTTGGAAAACATTCCGAGAGTTAGAACAGATGGACCACCATACTGGCTAATATTTGTCGGTCAAAACACAAGATACTGTGAAGCCATACCATTATGGTCCAAAAATATTTTAGATGTGAAAACTGCTTTGACAATATTCGTTGACAAATACCATCCAACAAAACTGACATCTGACTGTGAAAGTTCTTTTTCAAATCAGATGATATTAAAAACTATCTGCGTTCAAAAAATGTAAACCAATATTTCATTGTCGACCAAAACCATTCTGCTCTTGGTGTCATTGACGGTTGTATAAAAATGTTAAGAGACTTAAACCAACCACAAGGTGGTGTAGCAAATGAAATGTCATATGACGACAAATATAGACATTCTCCATGGCAAAGATGAGACAAGTTTTAAATATTTACAATAACCGTAAACAAAAAGGTTTGGGAAACCACTCCCCCGAAGAATGAAAAAACAACCCCGACTTAGAGAAAGACTATATATTTAATAATTTAGTCAAAAGAGACAAACAAGAAGAATGCCGGGCTTCAAACTTCAGAAAGGTGACAAAGTAAAAATAGAAATACCTAAACGCGACCCATATGAAAATACTATTGACTATGACAACAATGGGAACCAGACAGGTACTCACATTCGTGTTCGTAAAAATAGAAGAAAGTATACAAGAGAATATTATGAAGTTTTAGGCAAACATGGCAAAATGTACACACTGCAAGCAGAAGATAAAACGACTATTGTCAGACCTCGTTTCAAACTTGTCAAAGTTCAAGGTGGTATACTTTCAAAGACAGTTCCTAACAAATATAAGACAACTCCTGACGAATATGCTAAAGAAGTTGAAAATGACGACTAAGCAATTCTATACCATGCGTAAACTGTCATGTAAGGTGGCATGTATTCTTTACTTTGTCCCGTTGTTTGTGTATATCCTGAAACGGAATGTGTATGGTTTCCATCTCCCAGAGTGTCACTCCAGTAACAATTTATAGCAAACTTAACGTTGTCTTTAACATCATATCCTTTACCTTTTGTCATTCCTGACCAATCCCAATATCTATGCTTATGCCAACCTGCTTGAGATGTACTTAAATTTATGTAGTGACTGTGTGCAGGTAAATTTTCACCTGAAATCGTTTTACTTCCACCTGTTTCCTTTGAAGAGTTTGCACAATACAAAAACCTGTCGATTATTTGTTCCCATGCACCAACACCAAACATTACTTGAGGACCTCTTGCTTCCATAGATGTATAAATAGAACCTACTGGGTTCATTAAATCAAACATATGAGATATTATAGGATTGTCTCTTTTGAACTTAAAATATAGTGCAACTATTTCAGGTTTCTTCTGGTTTGTGTCAGAATATTTTTTATAATATAATCTTATGTTTTCAGGGTAGGTAAAATCTTGACTATAATATTTATTTCTGTCATCTTCATAATAGTATACTATTCTCGTTTTTTCTATTGCATTATATCTTTTATATCTATAATAATCTAAATATAATGTTAGCTTTTGTTCATCTACATGTGGTGTTCTGACGTCATCTCCATAGTCATAATAATATGGTGCTGGAGCTGGGTCAGGCAATGTCATATCTGCCATTTCATAAACTCTTAAATATTTCTTTTGTTCGTCTCCATATAAGTTTAAGTAGCAGTTGTTGTCTAATGGAACTTTAACTTGTGTACCATCATTCTTTTTATAGCTTACATACATTTCATTGTTATTTTTCGGAATGAGTTTACACCGTGTACCATTTTTTAAGGAATGTACAAACTGCCATCTAAAATATTTATTTTCTTCATTGACAGAAAAGTCACCAACAATAGTTTCAATATTTTTTGTTCCAACTAAACTTTGGTATATTTCATTGACATATGTTTTATCTGCTTTATTTTCAAGGCTAACGTTTAAGTCTGTTATTTCAGATATAGAATGTGTATGTCCAACGGCACTTTTCCTGTTTAAGGTTTCTTGTAAGTTTGTAATATTTGCAATGGTATGTGTATGTTCAACGTCACTTTTCCTGTTTAAGGTTTCTTGTAAGTTTGTAATATGAGATATAGAATGTGTATGAGTCTTATCTGCTTTTGTCTCTAATGTTTCCTTAAGACTTGGTATTTGGTTAATATAATGTATATGAGTCTTTTTAGAATATTCGTTTTCAGCTCTTGTCACTTCACTTGACATTTTATTGTCAACATATGTTTTGTCTGCTAGTTCAGGATGAGTATGTTCTTTTGTTGCATAAGCATTGTTAGCTCTTTCTTCTTCTTTTGCTATTGCGTCGTCTACATATTCTTTGTCAGCTTTGTTGTCAACATCTGCTTTCAAAAGAAGTTCATTTATAGGTTTCTCGTTTAAAGTTCCTTTTGTTGGATTTATACAGACAGTATTGTTCTTCTTGTCTTGAAATAGAAACTCATCTGTTAAAGGGTTTAACGTCAGTTTTAAGTTTCCTTCTTTCAATGACTCAGATATCTTAGAATAGTTTGAAAAGTTTGTTGTGTTCTTATTTAGAGCTTGCATAATGAGTTGTCGTGTGTTGTGTATTTCTCTTATGGAAGCAATATCTTTCGACATTTTTATTCTAGATAAAATATGCTTCCAATAGAAAAAGAAAATTCTAGAGTTGCTACAACTAAACCATTAGATGAACTTTTTACTAATGTCGGTCAAAAGTTTGAGACAGATACCGTAAAGCATGAAGGCTATCGTTTTGACTACCCATTAAGATGGCTAAGAGACCCATCTGTCACAAAAGCCATTGGCTTTCGTAGAATGAAGTTCATTTCAGAAGCCATACATGGTTTCCCATTTACGGTCGGTTTTGTAGTTCGATACTATAACAAAGAAAAACGTATGTATGAGAAATTTGAACAGGGAAAACTTTTACAAGTGAATTTGCTTATAAATTTAGAAACAACTCTTCAAGCTTTTCAAGAAAAAATAAACGATATCTATATCGAATATGCAAACCAGTATAACATTGACGAAGGAGAATACCATCTCGATATTATTTATGACAGGAAAAATGCAACTGTTAAAATCAATAAAATAGAAGACCTTGGAGAAAACGTTTATATTTCTACAAAATATAACAACTTGGCATGGTATAGATTTATGAGGATGTTAAATCAGCCTGCAGCATATCCAGTACACCCGGACTATTATGAAGTCGAAAAACCTAATGGAACATATGAAAATATTTTCGACCCAGATGCTATTATTGTTCATGCTTCATTTTCTGGTGCGCAAAACTCTTTCTTATGTCTGATGAATGATTTTTACGAAAAACCTACAAAGTTATACGAACCACCAAGTGGAAGTATTTCAGACTTTCAAGTATGGTTTACTACAGATGGAAGAAAAAGAATAATTCCATTATACCATGCGTTTTACTTAGAACTTAGTTTCATATACAACTACTATCGAACGGTAAAAATATAATTTTTTAATACGGTTGAGGTGTTGGATTTGGTTGCCAACTAGACTGTGGTGCAGGTTCAGGCTGTTGTATAACAGGAGCTTGTTCTTCTGGTTCAGGGTCTTTAGGTATAATACCAACAAACTGACCTACTCTTTTACCAATATTTTTGACTCCGTTCCAAATTCCTTTTCCGACAGATTTTATTCCATTCCATATACCTCTTCCAACTCTTCTGAAGAAGTTTCCAATACTACTGAAGAAACCCATTTACTACGTGTAAAAATCTAATGTCCGCCAAGTCTTTTACGTTTCCTGTTGAGTTCCATAGCATTCTTTAACTGGAGCTCATACATTCTGTTTCTCCTCTGGTAGAAAACATATTCTGGGTCAACTCCTGTGTTCGCGTCATCTGCATAAAGTTGTTTATATCCCACTTCAGGGTTTGTATAAAACTCTTTCCATCTCATATTTGCATACCATGGTGGCAAACCTAACGCAGCGTCATTTGACATGGCAGTTTGCATTTGTACATCTGTTGGCACTTGACCATAGTTTGCCATTGCAGTTTGTATTCTAACTTCATTTGGAATATTCTCTGGGTTTGGTTGTCCAGGTTGCTGTGCATTCGCTAAGTTCTGTGCGTCCATTTAATATTAGATAAAAATATCTCTTACGAGTACATATACTGAACATTTGCAGGCATTGGTTCATCTTCATATTCTCTGTACTTTTCTGCCACGTCAAATAAATAAATGACACAATGGAAAAAACCTAAAACAAGTAGTCCTATTTCAAACCACATTTACTTACTAATAAAATTTCTTTATTGTGACACTTTCTCCGGTTTATAGGACCTCTCTCATATTCTATCTTGTCATATCTAAACTCATAGTCATGTATGTCCTCTAACCATCTCATAACGGTTTCCAAACCACTTTTATCGGATGTAAAGTAAAAGCATGGATGGTTATGTATAACGTCTAAAGTTTCTAAAGAGTCTCTCAAAGTCCAGTCTACTTGGTATTGAAAATCATATGTGTTATAGAACGGCGGGTCTACTATAAAGAAAACATTTTCCTTGTTTTTATATTTTTCATACAACTCTGTCCAATGACATCTCACAAACTCTATACCCTCAGTATATTTTTCTATGTCCTCTTTGAAAACCTTTGTATAGTTAAGATATAAAACGTTTGACATAAGTGTTTCAATGTCATGAACTCTTATAGAACCACTATATAATAGTCTAGCAGATATACTATCCCAGTCTATATATTCTGCTTTTTTCAAAACCTCTCTCACAATATTTTTCTTATCTAATGGTATACGTTCCATCTTACCTATAGGTATCTTTTCTTTTAACGCTTTCAATATATTGTTTGTGTCTGGTATATGTTTGAGACGGTCCATATAGTTGTCGAAGTCATTGCATATAATCTTTGAGTCTGGGAATATTGTATGACATAAATGAGATATATAGAAACTTCCACCGAACAAATCTACAAATGTTAGACCATTCGGTAGTTTCTTAAGTTCTCTCAATATAATATCTTTACATCTACTCTTATTTCCAAAGAACGGTAACGGTGGTTTTGTAAAATTCATTTATATATAATAATAAAAATGTTTTCACCCGAAAAGTGACAGAAAAGTGACAAAACATGAAAACATATATATTTTGTGAAAAGCCCCTGGAAGCCCTCCGAATAAAAACTTCATTTATACTAAACATCTTCAGGGCTAGAAGGGGCGCAGCCCCTGGAAGCCCTCCGAATAAAAACTTCATTTATACTAAACATCTTCAGGGCTAGAAGGGGCGCAGCCCCTGGAAGCCCCAATACCCTTTTTTTTTTCTAATTTCTTTTACTCGTTTATGAGGTCTTTGATTATGACTCCATTGATTCCATTCAGGATTTAAACAATGTTTAATTAATCGCGGAATATCTGACATCATCTATATATAGCTTCTTTTATAAAAGATAAAATAAATTATTTTAAAATTAATGTTAATTTTTTTAATGATTTATAAATAAATATATTTTAATGCATCGTCTATATATAGATGTAACAAAAAAAGTCACTAAACCCGTCATATCCTACTACTTTGATATTCAACTGATCTAGGTTGATGAAACTCTATAATATAGGTTTCCTTTATTTTAACTCTCAAAAACATTTCTGTGAGAAGTAATTAGTATCAAAAATCTGAAAAAAATAAAATAGAAAAATAAAAAACTATCATGGTGTTTATTTTAATAAAATTAAGATTGTAAACCGAAAGAAGATCCGAATTTTGATTATATCCGATCGATAGAATTTATATTTAATTTTTAATTTTGAATTTGTGCATTTTGTGGGTTGCTGAGGATATGGTTGTTGATAATATTGCTGTGGAGGATATTGTTGCTGTTGAACGCTACCTTGAGGTTGTCGATGCTTTTTGCTGCTGAAACTCGAAGATTTTCTTTTATCTGTGCGTAAATGATCTGGAGTACAGCATCCTTGTATTGTTCCTCTACGACACAAAATAAAAATCAGAAGTATAATGGCAAAAACCAATACGAATATATAACCAAAGTAACCAAAACTAGCCATGATTAAATATTTCAAATCTTTCAATTTTGTGTCACCAAAGAAAAAATAATAGTTGAAATTTTACTTTATTTATTTATATATAGAAAATTAAATTATTTTTATTGATGGGAAATTTCTGATTGTACGGTTTTTAAAATAATGAATATCCCTATGCAATATGCATATTTAATTATAATATGAAGAACAAGATTGAATGAAATCGGAGCATTTTAATAGCAAATTAAATATATTGTTGGGGCATTTTCTTAGGAGAAGGTAAATTTGAATACCATTCAAAAGTAAAAATTCACAATTTGTTCGATTTGGACATATAATCTATTATTATATATAATGTAATTAAGAAAAAAAATAAAATGACCTGCATATATTAATTATTTAGATTGCAAGATTCAAAAAAGCTATTAAAATTAGAGACTAAATAAATAGCGAATTGATTCATATGGATTTATGTAATTGTGAACATTAAAAGAGTTTATTTATTGATCTAATAAAAAAAGATAAAATATTAATGAGAAAATTGAAAGAATAGAGTGTCCCATTCACTCGTGTTGGTCGCAATATATCATTCTGGGAGACATTGCCTCTGCATGTCTCCCACAATGGCACAATGTTCCTTGGAGAAAGACCTGGAAGGGGGTCCTTTCTCAAGGTCAGGGCCCCCTTCTAGTCTTTCTGGTCCTGAAAGGAGCGCTTCTGACGGGTCTGTGCGCTGCTTCCAGGAAGATCAGGAGATTGCTCGAAGTTCGCGGCAAGTGCATTCCGACACCACAGATGCACTTGCCGCAACATATAATTGCGAGTGTCTGCTGCTTTGGTCAAAAGAAGCAGCAGACACTCGCAATGCGAACCGAATTGTCCCAGAAAGACCTGGAAGGGGTCCTTTCTCAAGGTCAGGACCCCCTTCTAGTCTTTCTGGTCCTGGAAGGAGCGCTTCTGACTGGTCTGTGCGCTGCTTCCAGGAAGAACATGAGATTGCGCCAATAAGCTCCTATCAACAAATTTTGACTAAAAATATAAAGTATCCTTTTGTGATTTAACGAATAGCTCAATTTTAAAATAGATTTGATTCTAATAATAAATTGAATGAGTTTCGCTTACGTTTAGAATTTAATGATTTATATGATTTTTTCGTTCACAGAAGAGTCATTGATATCCAATATCAAAAAAACAGCAAAGACACACCATAATAAATGATATTGAAGCTAAATATTACATATTTCAACATATCTAAAAAATTATTATAAGATTAGATCTCATGCAATGCCGAGCAGTTTCCTAATGCATAATTACTTATTTATACAGAATCAATTATATAATATTCACATTGCAAATTATATACATTCTCACGAAGCAACAAGAAATAGATTGTCCGAATTTGAATTCAAATAGAGATCTACTTCAAAAGGATTTCTTACAATATGTAATCTCGATGTTGATCACTGGAATACAAGGGATGCACGTAATTTACAAATTGTTGCAAAAATAGTAGTGCAACAAAAATTTTATTTTTAGCTTGTCACTTGATATATAACAATTGCAAAAACTCAATCAAAAATAGGATTTGAACAACTTTTTAAAATTGTGAGAAAAATTCTATCGGCACATTCTATTCAATTTTAAAGTATTTCTTTCATATTCCAATCGATTATTCAATATTTGCCAATCACAAATTTTAGTTCAAAATTCAAAAAATCCCTAATTTTAATTTCAGATGAAATCTCGCAAAAATAACATTGTTTTAACCATATAAATATATATTTTATATATTGTATAGTGATTTTTTAATATTTTTATGAGTAAAATCGAGAGTGAGGAAATGTGGACTACAAAAAACGATAGAAATGAATAATTTACATGGGAATTCAATACTTACAAGTATTCAATGTCACTTTTGTGCTCGAGATTTTGACTCTAGTATAGATCACTTTTTAAAGCATAATTAGCTAAAATCTTTAATTGAAATTTTCAATGCTAATACAAATTTGATTATTAATACTAAATATCATATTCTTAGTAATTCCATAAGAATATTTTTCTAAATCTATTGAAAATTGAAATGAAAATTTTTATACGATCGCATTATGTACTGATAACTTTTTTGATAAAAAAAAGATTTTGATTGTAAAATTGCAATGTAAAGTTCTCAATTGATGCAAGAAAAACGTTTGGATTTTTGTGATAAATATTTGACTTGTTTGATCAACTAAAATGAGTTTAGAAGGTCACTATCACTCCAGCTTACTCACATGCTTCTCAGATCCTTGTTTATGTGTTTGCGGATTCTTTTGCACCCCATTTCTTCAATTTGCAAACGCTTATTCGTTAAGTACATATACTCCAAATTGCGTTATTGCATGCTGCTTGTTCATCCACCCATATGCTGTTCGTCTTGAAATCCGTAACAAGGAACATATGCCACTAAGTTTATTCACAGATTGCTTAGTAACCAACTTTTGTGCTCCCTGCGCTGTCATTCAAGATGCAAAAGAAATAAATCACATGCGCTACAATATGATGAGATATAATCGTCCATCAAGTAGACAAGTTTCACCTAGAATGTAATTTTATTTATTAAAAAAAGAGGGCATTATTAATATTTTTAATAAACACAATAATAACCATTTTTGATATCAACATTATACTTTGTTGAAATAATTTTCTTTAATTCCTTGAAATAAGCTTCCTTGTTAAACTTACTCTGTTGATTCATCAGCATACATTTAACATCAGTAAAATAGCTATCATATCCCGATGAGTTTGCTTTCCAAAGAACATTTTCGGTCAATTCCTCTTCATCTCTGTCATAACAAATTGCTTTTGCTGTTGCAAATTTTTCCTTTCCGGTTCTTTCTTCTTCAGTTTCTGTACTTGAGACAAGCATCAGCAATAAAATTATCGCTTTGAGCTTGTCATCAGGTGAAAGTGTTTGTTCATTGTCATCAGGTGTAAGATTTTCTTCAGATGTTTTGTCATCTTTTTCAAAGATTCTCTTTCTTAACATTTCTTTACTAAAAGCTTCGTCTTGATCATCAAAACCAAGCGAAGATGACAGATTTAAGTTCGTTGAAATAGAATCACTTATACTAGTAATGAAATCTGAATCAAGGAACTTGAAAGAGAAAGTTGATGTCTGTTCAAGAATTTTCTTAACAATCTCTGTTGAAACTTGAACTGGGTTGAATTCAACACTCAACGTGTAAGATTTTGTACCATCTTGGAACTTGTGGAAATTATCGAATTCATTTTTAACAATAGCGAACAACAAACCATTGAGTTTCGCTTGAGAAAGATCAATATAATCTTTGCTTTCTTGTTTTTGGATCTCTAAATTGTAGTTATAAATCAATCTAATCAAATTATATGTCTTTGTCAATTCTTCGAGATAAGAATTGATTTGATCTTTGAAAGATCTGTCTTTGAGTGAAGGGTTTTCATTATTGATATATTCTCTGAAATCAACTAATTCTCCAGAATCTTCCGTTTTTCCAGATTTTTCCAAATAAGTAATGAATTCAACAAACAAATTATCCCTTCCGAGTTTTGATTTAATTCCAAGCAATTCATCATAAGAATATGCAGAGCACAAAATGTAAAGAGCTTCGAGATGGCATCTGAACATTGCTTTCCATTTTTCCAAGAAGTCATAGACTGGCTTAATGTGTTTCGTTCTTTCTGCTTTTGATTCTTTTTCTTTAGAAGGTTTGACAAATTGTTCTAAAATTTCCAAAAACTTCATTTTCTGTTCAGAACTCTCGTTCATAAACAAATAATAAGTAACAAATGATTCGATAGTCATCAAACAATACTTTGTCGATTGGTAATTATTATCACTAGCTGTTACAATGTGGAATATCAATGCTTCTTGTGAATTTTCGTTAATGAAAAGTGCCAAATTTTTGTTGGCACTTTCTTCTTTTTCTTCTTGCCCTTCAAAGTGAATTTCATTTTCAAGGAAGAAACTGTTGACGAATTTAGAATTTTCCAAAGATTGCTCATTCTTGAAATCATTGAGCATGTCTTTGAAGAAATTACCTTTGTAGCACTTGATAAATTCGAACAATTGTGGATCAGTGTATGCTCGATCTCCTGCTTGAATTTCATGATCAAAAAGGTCAAAAATCAAATTTCTTGGATTTTTACCTTTGATTTTTTCTTTCAAAGTATAGTATTCGGAGCTAATTTCGACCTTGTTTGTATCATCAATTTTCGATACTGCCAAGTCTTTAGTCTCATCTTGTTCAAAGCAATCTTTCAAATCAGGATTTTCGCCATAAATCTTCCTATCAATCGTGTTTGCTTTGATTTCATTACCTGTTAGACCTTCTGAATCTTTTGGTTTAGGAGTAAATTTGTCTTCTTTAAGCATCTTTGGAGAAAGGAAAGATTTCATTTGAGTAATTTCATCTTCAAATCGATTATTATCATTATGATTAAATATGTAACAGAAAACATATGATAAACTTGAAAAATTATTTGCAGAATTGAAAGATTGTACAATATTTCCTTTGATTCCTTGTTCATCCAAGCTCAAAATGAATCGTTTCGTTGGATAATCCAATTCTGAAAATTTCATTTTGTTGTCTACAATCTTAATAAAATCTATTTCATTCTTGAATTTATCAGCATTTCCTGTATTATCTTCATAGCGCTTCAGCATGAAATAGAATTTATCATAGAATTCCTCCAAAGTATTGCAGAAACAGTTAATGAAAACTCTGTTCAAGTTTTGAATGTTACTTTGATCTTTGTTACTTTGATCTTTGTTACTTTGATTTTTGAATTTCTCGAAACATTTATCAGCGTTTTCCTGGATATACTTTTGAACAAATTTATGAAGAATCTCCTTTTGTTTTTTTGTATTTTTTTGTGTTTATTTTCCAAGTGACTCAAAACTATTTCATTAAGTGGATCGTAATATTTAGATTTGATTTGCTTATGAATTGCAACAATTTGATTTGCTCCAAAATTCTTTGATGGGGTATCAATCCAGTAAACAGGCCATTTACTTGTCGAAATAACGTAATCTGGGATTTTTGTTCCTTTAACTTGAAGAACGATGGCAACATGATTTGTACATTTTGTTTTATTGAAGAAATCTTCAATCAACGATGTGTAATGATACAATTCGTTATGGTCTTGATGAGAGATGGAAATGATTGTGTTCTTATTTTGTATGTAATTGAACAACATAGTTTCATTCGCAACCATTTCATGAAGAACAAAATCAATGTTTGATTCAGTTTCGAATTTGAAATCATTCACGTAATCGTTTGTGACACAAATACACATTTTCTTGTTTTGAATGTAATCGCTCAAATTCAAATGCATGTCTTCAACTGCAGGATCTTTAATCTCTTTGATTTCCTCTACACATTTTTTACGATCTTTGTCATTTTTAATTTTCTCTTCATATTCTTTAACATAAGCTTCTGTGAAATGTTCCATTCCATATCTAATGATCCTTGCTCTAAGTATTTCATCATCGGAAATACATTTGCGATATTTTTCTTCATCATGAATTGCTTTGAATTCATCAATTATTTCCTTTAATTCTTCATCGTTTTGACTTAATTCGAGTCCGATATGGAAAAATTGATCATCAGTTGCTCCCAAATAAAACAATATCTCGTATTGAGAAGAAAATCCATTAAAGATTAAAGGTGTTTTGAAACTTTTAAGATGCTCAATCAAAATTTTCGCCGAACTTTCCTTTTTTGCAAGCCATTGCTTCCTAAGAATTCCAATGTTTGATTTCTTGAATTCCAAAACATCTATGATTCCATCAATAGCATTTCCAGTATTGTTAAGATCTTCAAGTGTTATTGGAGAAACAATCTTTATTTGTTTATCTGGACTGATAATTTTTTCCAAGTAGAAATTGACTTCAGAACTAATGGCAATTTCTTGCTTTGTGAAGCTCATTGAGCAAAGGTTAATTTGATTAAGATCACATTTATTGTATTTTTCGATATCAGAAAGATCGTGGTTACAAGGTTTATTATCACCTGGGGATATTTTTCTGATTCTCATTGCGTCGAATTTGAACTTTTCAAATTTATTCATAAGTTCGTTTTTATCATTTTGTATGAGTGTATCTTGAGCATCAACAAACTCTTCGAAATTCTTGATGTAATCATTAAAAGACAAAGTGATTGCGTTCAATCTATCCTGCATAGAAAGAGGAACATTGTTTACCAAATCTTTTTTGTTGCAAACCATCAAGAAATGCATTCTCGGCATCTGTTTTGGATTAAGATGAACAGAAAATCCATCAATATGCGTGTAAGGATTGTAGTCATCACTTGGATCATCAGGATTCGAGTAAGGTTTCTGTTGATTGACGATATCCAAGTTTGAATCACTACTTGGATTATTTCCTTGGATGAGGAAAATGAATGAATGTTCATTGGATCTTTCCTTCATGAATTGCTCGCAAATCTGGAGAGATGATTTGTTGGCGTAGATATTACGAGGCTGCTTGAAATTGTTCTCGTATAAATTGATGATAATGAATCGCTTGAAATAAGATAAAACATCCAAGAATTCATTAACAACTGGAACACTTTCATAGTGTTTAGTGATGAATAAAATGGATCTAGCCAATCTGTGGTCAAACAACAATGATTTAATGATACATAATACATTGTTATACTTTGGCAAGTTGTAATCATTATGTGGAAACTTTTTTTCCCAAATTTTTTTTGTTTTTTCAACAGCGTCTTTAAATGTTTCGCCAAGAGAAATGAAAGAAGAAACAACAATCGGATAATGGATTTCAATCGGATCAGATTGTTGCATGATGATTGTGTAGACAGGTCGCATCAAACTCTGACTGTTGTTGATGTATTTCTTGATAGAATTAAAGAAATCTTGTGTTGATTCATCAACATCATTCCTCGTAATTTTTTCAAGTGTCTTTGGATCATAATCAATATGTCCATATTTTTGTTCTTTTGTTAATGAATCGAAAAACTTCGCTTCGTCGGAATCTGGATTTTTAATGGCATATTTTTGTTTCTTCATAATAGAAAAGGCTCTGATTAAATCATCGGTTGTCGGCCTTGATCCCGAAATAACAACAGATCTATTCATAATAGCGTGGTCGATTTGGTAATTAGATGCTCCGACAGGGAAAATTTTTTCGAACTTTTCTGAGATGTCTGAAATATCATCTGATAATCCTGTATTTTGTTGATCTGTTTTGATCTTGTAATGAATACCTTTATCAAAGATATAATGGAGTTCTTTGATGTACAAGCTTGGATTGAGATTTCCAAATCCCAATTCATCAAGGAAAACCATAGCTGTGTATAGTCTAACTTGGTTATCTCGATGATGATGTCTCATGCAATCATAGAAATGAGATTCCAAACAACTTGTTTGAGAAATGATACTCGTGAGAAATGTCGAACAATAGAAATCATTTGATTCACCTGGTTCATTTGATGTTTCATTTGTTACAGGTTTATAATGATATATCTTGAAATATTCGACAGCCAAAGATTTAGCTGTTCCTGGTTTTGCAATCAATAAAATGGGTAACAATTCATGCATGTAATGGAATATATTGTATCCGATGTCAAGAGCAGCGAGATTGAACATGATGCTGTTAAGTTTCAAAATTTTTGGCTCTGGAATGTATTTGTAACATTGTGCAAAACTGTATTCATACATTTTCTTTTGAATATCAAAATTATAATTCTTATTTAAATGATCCTTGAATGCTTTGTTTAGAATCTTGTTCGCTTCGTGTGTGATGTAGCCTTGAACATCAACATTGAGCATCTTATTTTCACCGTTTTGGAGATATTCAGCCTTGTTGTCAATTTTAGCAAAACCAGGATTCAAAAATTGTACGAAATCAGCTCTGAAATTACGTTCTTCTACATCTTTATCTTTATCTTTTTCATCAAAAAGATTTGAGAATTCCCAGTATTTTTTGAGATTATTGATAGTGAAATTACTACTTTTGTCATCTTTGTCATCAATGAATTCGGCATTAGTCGTATAAGGCAAAATAAATCTCATGTAAATGCCAACAGAAAGAGCCAGCTCGAAATTTCCTGTTTGTTTATAAACCAACTTAAAAATGTGTGAAAAATGAATGGCATTTCTATAAGAAATTGCTGCCTTTTCGCGAATGATATTGTATATAACTTTATACAACTCCCAAATGCAATCTTGGATTACAAACTTTTGTTTTGACTCCAAATTAGCTGAAAAACCATCATTCTTCTTCCTCTTTTGTTTTGTTGTTGTATCATCATCACTATAATTTTTCATTAATTCTGTTTCAATGATTGTCATCATGCATTGTTTTTCATCTTCATCGTTGAGATTAATTTCGTATTCGATTATTGCGAATTCGATCATTTTAGGAATATCTCTGACTTTGTAAGTATAGTTAAAGTGATTGATACGGAACAATTCCTTTTCTTCTGATGTTTGGAGATCCATGAAATTAATGGATTTTGTTGGCATAGAAATGAATTGTTTGTTGCCAATCAATGACAATTTCTTGGAGATTTCATTGGAATTGATCAATGGATTCGCTGCAACAATGAAAGAGATGTTTTTCTCTTTCTTCATGAAGATCTCTCGCATCTTGTGAGCGATGTAACAACCTGCGGTACATGTATTAGCTTCATTAACAAAAATGAGGTATTTTTTCGATTTGTTTTTTTGTACATCTTCTTCAATGGCTTCAACAATTCTTTGGATTTCTAATAACTCTGTACCACCATTGCAATTGATTGTCTTTGTAAGACTACCAGTAATTTGTGACAAAATTTTAGAAATGACATTAGAAATTTTTGTTTTTCCTGTTCCTGTGTTTCCAACTAAAATTACTTCTTGATGATTATAAACTCTCAACAAAGCTTTTAATAGTCGTTTAGCAATGGAATCATTCAATCCAACTTTAATATCATACTTCCTTGAAAGAAAGGTTTGGAAATCATTAGTATCGCATCCGTAAACATCACTTCCGTTCAAATTTAATTCATTGTCGAATGTGCCGAGCTTAAAATATTTCTTATTTTCCTTGAACCTGTCTGGAACTCGGATGAACATTCTGTCTTTATTTTCGAACTTATCTGGTATAATATTCCATGCGTAAAGAGCTGATATCCTGTTCTTTTGGCTTTGATCTTCTTTTATCAAAGCAGTAACACGATTAAAAATGTCTTCATTATCTAACATATCAACATTTGATTTAGGATCAAGATTTTTGGCCAATTCTTTCAGTTCATTTCTTAATTCTGCCAGTTTCGTTATATCATTTGTTATTTCGTTTTCATAATGTGGTTCGTAAATCTTGAATGCATTGTCTGTCCTCAAATCAGAATCCCAATTATTTCTTAAATTGTTTAAATCAAAAATAAAGCTCAAATACTTTGTATTAGAAATATTTGGAGGGAACTCGAAAATGATCTTTTCAAAAACATTGTTAATATCAATGAATTCTCCAGTCTCATTGTATCCTGAGTTACCTGTTAACTTGCGCATAGAAATCAAATATAAATCATCAAAAAATTCTGGACATGCGTTTCCTTTGAATAGTTCTGGTGAAAATGTCATTAATATCTTTTTGTTGCTTCGAAGATATTCAAGGATCTTGAGCTGATATGATTTTTCTGGATCTTCTATATACATTCTCACACAATCTTTGATGTCATTTGTTAATATCTTTTGTTTGATTTGATCAAAGTCAATGTCTTTTTGTTCAAATTTAATTCTCTTAGCCTCCTTCTTTAAACAAATTTTCTTGGGCTATTGATGAAACAATGCATATGGCTTGCTGTGTTTCAGATGACCAATTTGAAGTAAGTTTTTTGATGGATTGGATTTCATCAGGAGCTAATGTTTCTGGATGAACAAAAATGACGGGTTGGCGGCCAATGAGTTTGTTAACGAGTTGCATTTTGTCTTTGAATCTATCGCCTGAACGACAGAAGATACGACAGTAATTGCGAGATTGTGGCAAATTTTGATATCCGGAAAAAACTTCGTATGGATGATTGACTTTGATGTATTTTATCTCTTTTTTGATCTGTTGTTCCTTTATGGAAACATGATCTGTAACGTATTGAAATCCTGTTTTCAAGAATGAATTAAAAGTATTAGATCTCTGGTTTTGTGAGAAACAAACGTCGAAGTTATCTAATGATTTTATCTTGCCTTTCATTTCGATGTCTCTGCCGATCTTCCATATTAAGCTGTTCTGAATATAATTCCTTTTATCTTGTTCGGGCTTTTTATTCTTCGCATTGATCATTCTAAGAGTTTTTTTCATGCTCTTTACTCTGTCTAAGGTAATTTTTCGTGCATAAAGCGGTGGATATCCTTGGTCTCTGAGCTTGATCAGAATTTCGCGGAGTTCGAGAACAGGTTCATAAAACGTGTTGAATTTTGCTTCAATATCAGTCTCACATGAGTGCTTAATTTGTGTACTCATAGCATTCAATTCGGAAAATTGAATTCGGATTGTACTATTAGTAACAAAATTTAACTCTACAAATGTCTCTTGAGGAGAAATGGTCCATAGAGGGTTGTTCTTCTCGTCCGCTATGTCCGAAGTTTTCATTCTTAGTTGTTTTTTTTCACCTACATCCATTTTTTTTAATTATAATTTTGTTGGAATTTTAAAGTTTTTTTTTATTCCATTCCTTTCCATAAATTATCCAACAAAAAACAATTTCCTAAAGTATTCAATTTCGTGCTCATTGTTTAATTGATTTTTTCCACTTAAACTACTTACTTAACATATATTTTCCTTAAGTGAATGATTCAAGGAGAGATAATGAGAATTTAGATCATGTTAGTTGTACTCATATCATATACATTAAAGTTGGAGTATTTGTTTATGCAATTCATTTATTTATGAATCTGATATAATCTATACGAATCTATCATCTATTCATATGTTACTTTGTTCTCATATAGCTGAGATTAACTTTTCCCTAGAAAAAAACACACAATTATATGAAGTTTTGATAAAACATGCTGGGAAACCATTTTCAAGAAGCTTGAAACAATATTTTATTTATTCTCACAGCATTCTAAAGTATATTAGTTATTAATATTGATATTTCTCCATCAAATCCTGATCTTTGTCAAATTTTCATTGAAATTCAGTTCCACAGTTGTTTGACACTTTTGACAAAAAAAAGATTTCTTTCATATGTACGTTATCGCTTTCTGTTTCGAAAGGTAAAAGTGCAAGCTTTTCCCATTCTGCACATATAGGTGCAGGGTGCTAGTGATAGACCCTGCATATATATGTGCAGAATGGGAAAAGTGTTTGCAACATTCGCATCGAAAGGTAAAAGTGCAAGCTTTTCCCATTCTGCACATATAGGTGCAGGGTGCCAGTGATAGACCCTGCATATATATGTGCAGAATGGGAAAAGTGTTTGCAACATTCGCATCGAAAGGTAAAAGTGCAAGCTTTTCCCATTCTGCACATATAGGTGCAGGGTGCCAGTGATAGACCCTACATATATATATGCAGAATGGAAAAACTATCTACTTTGAATATTCTGCATCGGAATCTCTTGGTCAATATACAATTAAATACAATGATCACATCGATATTTGGAGATACAAGATAAGTATCTCCAAATGCCGATGTGATCATATATGATTGTCGATAAAAATTTGAAATCTCAAATAAGATGCAGATTAAAAAATGGATATGTGACCAAAATGAGTTTACAAACACAATATAGAGTATATATATATAGATACCTCATTGTATTCAAAATGAAATAAAACAAAATTTTTGAAATTCATATCTTATATAAAACACATTATTCCTCAATACTATATGAGTAAATATGGCTTGATTAGTATAGATATATGCACATATATTTGGCCCCCAATATAAATTCTATGTTTTCGGGAAAGCAAAAGGTCCAATCGGTGTATGATAAATTTCACCTCACATGGCACCGCCCCGGGAAATTGTCTTGTTAATCGATTTTCGAGATGACTTTCAAATGCTATCATCAAATGACAAACAAGTCTAAGATTTCTCGACAATACATCAAATCATGATGTTTGTAAGTGCGATGAGATTAGAGTTTTTGAAGGAATGACAAGAGAAGTAGGGAAGCTCGGCATTCGCCGAGCAAATTAAAAAAACGTATGGATTAAATTTTAAGAGGAATTCAATTTTAATTACGGGTTGTTCAAATATTGATTAATATAAATTTATTAATAAGAATAAACAATTTTTGTTTTTGAATTTATTCAATTTATAGCTTTACATATAGTTTCAAAATTGTACAACTATGACTATTTCAACAAAAAATATCTTACTTTTTCACTTCACTTTCACCCTCACTTTTTCCGTAATTCAAATTTCAACATTATGTATTTTAATTCCTTATAGTATTTTTAACATAATTAATCAAATAATAATTGGAAGTTCTGAACTCACTTTTTCCGTAATTCAAAATCAAAAATATGAATAATATATCTATTTATTATATACTAATGTTGCATGCTAAGATCAGTCATAATGTAAACCTCTCAATTTTATTGTTGTGGGAAGTATCTCAATTCCTTCAAAAAAATTGAAAAACTATTTAATTTTAAAAATATAATACTTTTAATTAGTTAAGTAATTGGAGATATTTTTTAAAAAATCACTTCTGATAATACTTTTGAGAACTTTAATTAAAAAATATATTCAAAAATATCCAGGATATCAAGAGGGAATTGTTCCTTATGAGGTATATAGTTATGATGTATACCTCATAAGGAACAATTCCCTCCTTAAAATCGTAGACATTTTTATACTTATTAATCAACCGTTCAAAATCATATTCCTCTGAAAAGTTATTTTATTAAAAATTTAGAATTTTAATAAATATAGAGTTTGAATTTCATACAATACCTATATATTTTCAATAATGGAATTTGAAAACCATTCTCAAAAGTTCTCAGAAAACCTTTTTTCATTAATTTTAAGAAATCTGAGTATTAAATTAAGTGATAAATTCGTTTGACACTACTTTAATTTTTAAATTCAAAAAATTATATGTGCTTCTTAAAATGACTCAAAAAAATTTTATTATAAAATAATATATAATATTAAAAATCTCACAACATTTTTTTACTTTACATAATCGTACTTCCTCGACGATTAATTTCCACTCAATTTCTATCGTTGACCGAACTTAGCATGCAACACTAATGCTATTTTCAACTAGAAGTGAGGTACGGTAATCTTACGGATTCCCGTAACTCAATTTTACGGAAAAAGTGCCGTAAACTACTCAATTTACGGAAAAAGTGTCGTAAACTATTGATGTGGCGGTAAAATCACGGTAATTCACGGAAAGCTATATGCGAAAATTTGAAATTATACAAAATCGAGCGAAACACTTTTAAATAGGTTGTTCTCGTATTTAAAATACTATTCCCAGATTTATTGTCGTCAGAATATTTCCAAATTTTTGCCGATTTACAAAAAATGATTTACAAAGCATATTTTTTAATCTAAAAAATTCCTAAAAAAAGGAACCGGTGTGCGGAAACCTCGGTAAATTACCGCGGTTCCCGTTGGGACTGCCATAATTTTTCTTATTAAATTATGATAAATTGAAAGTAGTAGATGAGTGCGGGTTGTGTGACTTTTTTTGTTACATCTATATATAGACGATGCATTAAAATATATTTATTTATAAATCATTAAAAAATTAACATTAATTTTAAAATAATTTATTTTTTTATCTTTTATAAAAGAAGCTATATATATAGATGATGTCAGATATTCCGCGATTAATTAAACATTGTTTAAATCCTGAATGGGTTAAACTTCAATTTAAAAATGAAGATTGTGAATTATTAAATGAATATGAAAGCCAAAATAAGCTAATGAGGTATAAATATAATGATAAAGAATATTTAATTTCATGGAATCAATGGAGTCATAATCAAAGACCTCATAAACGAGAAGAAGAAATTGAAAATAATGAAATGGAAATCATTGATGACATTAAAGAGATGGAATTCCTAAATTTTGTAGAAAAACCTTTAGAACTAAGTTAGGAGCATATAAACGTAGAGTATTAAATCCTGAATACATAAAACATTTTATTTAAAAAGGAAGACTGTGAATTATTAAACGTTAATGAATATGAAAATGCTAAATCAAAACTGAGATATAAATATATTGGAAGTGATGAAAGGTGTAAAGATAAAGATAAAGTTTATCAGTTTCATATAATAACTGGCACACGTTAGGGATTAGAAAACATTTAGGAGATTATGGTAAAAGTTTTCCGAATTCTTCAAATCTAGTATGTACGAGAGAATAAAAGAAATCAGATATAATTATCATTCATGAATGAAAAATAAACTTTTAAAAATTCATGTCTTACATTTTTTGAATAATTTATTTTTTAATTCGTATGAAAATGAGTGTCAAGACTAACGACGTTAAAAAATTGGGATTCCCAAACGAGGAAATAAAGGATTTATTAGAGGAGGGGAGTTTTGAAGTTAATAAATATTATTTAAGAAATTGTCAAAAATTCGCGAGTTATTAAATGATTTTAGATTATGATGGAAAAATGAATAAAGATGATGTTATAAATTTCTTATATCCCACATCTGAAGAAGAAAAACCTAAAGAACCTGATGTTTTCCCTGAATATTATGAAGAACGGATTAAAGATGATGAATATGATGAAATTGAAAGACTGGAAAAAATAAGAGATGAAATAGATGAAAAAATTAAGGAATTAAGAGAAGTTGAAAAATATAATGAGAATGAAGTAGAGGTTTAATGAATATCCCAGCTTCAGAATCAGAAAGTTCAAAATCTCATGAAGAAAGATATAAAAATTACTTTTTGAATCTACTAAAAATTTATTAGATGGTGAAATAGATGAAACACTTTCGGAAGAAGGCACAAAATTTATTCATAAACATAAGTTACAATTTATTGACGATGGAGATTATCCATGTATATTACTTTCACCTCCTCTTGATTCTGAAAAATTCAAAAAAGCACTGAAAAATGTAACATATGCAACAAATACGATTAAGAAAGAAGACCATGATATTTACACAAATTATTATTTAAATAAATGTACAGGTGTTGATAAAGTTTTTGATTTTTAGATAAAATATCAAAAGAAACAATTGGTACATATAAAATTTTATGCGATTGTGGTTTCATTATTGAAGATACTAATAATGTTTCATATGAAAGAACAGCACCGAAGGAAGACGAAGTTGAAAGGTCTATACCATTCGTTATTAAGAATATAAAAGATATGAAAACTTATAAACATTATATTTATTCATTTATTTCAGAAAAAATGGAAGCAACCCATAAAACATCATCTCATCATTTTATAGCTATTCATACATTCCTTTTCAAAGTTGTGAAATTAAATAAGACAGGAATTAGATTTAATGTATCAGGGTACGCATTCTTGAGTAAATTAAAATGTATTCGTCACGTCGCAGATGATAAAAATTTATGTGTTCTTAATTCATTTTATGGACTTTAGCCCTGGACTTTAAAAAAATAAACTTTATTTTTATTTATTTTTTAATTTTTTATTC